TCTTTTTTTTTTTAAGTAACAGTATTTTGTTTAAATTCAAACTTGTTGCTGTGCCCCACACGAGGTGGCAATAATTTATATGAGACCGAAAAAGGGCATGTAAAATCATGCGTTTAATGTTAACAGGCAACATTGAGCGGCATCTTCTAACAACGCCAATAACTCTGCACAACCTGCATGCTGACCAAATTATCAGTAGGGCGATCCCAAAACAGATGTTCAGAGAAAATTACGCGGAGCGTTTTGTGGTGCTTAACTATGTCGATTACTGTGCCACTTAAGGTACTTAAGGACCAATTCTGAATACCCCCCCCCCCCCCCCCCCCCCCTTCGTCCGGATCATTCCTCAGCCATCCTGTCCCTACTAGGGACTGTTTGGAGCTAGGTCGTATGCACTTTCTCTCAATGAAGACATACGTTACTGCACACAGCACAACGAGCTAAGAAGAACACAAACAATTAATTCTACGTGTCCATATGCGTTCCGTTGTTGGTTAATTGAGCATTTAAGTTCTGTGAAAAAATTAAAAAAAAAAAGAAAGGCGGAAGGGCGTTACGATTCCTTCGTGTGGCGACCCACTTCTGAAACGCAAATGACCAGCAGGGTTTTCCCCTCGATGTTGCCGTCGAGACGCCTCGTTGAAAGGGTGGCACTTCTCCGAACTGATCTGCTGAACGTCGAGCTCGCTGTCAGCCTGTTTCCAGGGTGCACGGCGAAAACGAAAGAGCGGCCCAGCGCGCCGATTAACCCTCATTACCCAACGAGAACGATGGTAACTCGAATGCGAAGAAAACTTCCCCGCGCCTTCGGCGAACTTTGGCGACTGAAATATGAAATAAACAGTTCGTACGGGAAATGCCGTTGCACCAGGTCAAGGCGAAAAGTTGATTTTTTTTCTTTATGTAGATGAGAAACAGAGTAATTCATTTCGAGGACATTTAGTTGCTACTCCTCGTGTTAAAGAAACAAAAAAGGATATCTATTTTTTTTTATTGAATATACGCAGGGTTCCGCGTTTTCAGTTTCTATTTTTTTTTTCGAAATTCGGTGTACTTTTTTCGGTGTTTATTTTGAAATTCAATTTTCGTTTTCTTTTTTCGGCTTATATTTATATGCCCACAAAAGTTTATCGGCTTTTTTCGGTGAATATAAAATAAACACCAACGGTCACCGGATAAGATGATCCTTGTAGCTCTGATATTTGTGATCACTCAAAGAATAACGGCACAGATATATTGAAAAAGAAATGGACCCGTTAATTGGCAAATGTGTGCATCTGTAAAAGAAACGAGAGAAAAAAACACACACAAATACAAACAAGTCAGATATGAAGCCTATTCCCCCAAAAACCTAGAACTTCACATGTACATCAGGATTACCAGATCTTATTATAGTACACACACGTGTACTTTCCCAGGTTCTCCTCGTTGATCCGCACTCTTTCTTTTCTGTAAATATGACCCTGAGCTTCGAGAATGCCCTTCTCAACGCTAGCACTGGACACTGGCAGGCTGAGGAGATGAAGCACTGCCTGAGCCAAAATCGGCCAATCAACCAATTGTGACTGCCAAAAGAGACACGGCGCGACGTTTTGAAGCACAACAGAACAGGCAGAGCTTGTATCAGGTCAGTCTTCCTTACAACGAGTTTGAAAACACGCTCGTGCATGGCCAAGTCATGGGGCATTTCGGGCTTCACGTTCCGATCGATGATGCGCACATTAAACCAAAACGTCGTGATGGAATCCGTGTATCCCCTACATTGGGACACGTTTCGATCGACAGTGTCGTTCCACTTTTTTTCGCCACGGCTCTGCGGTACGACTGGAAGGTCAAAGTGACCTTTTCCGGTTAGAACTGAATTTTAGAAAATGGATTCGACGTACTTTTATCGGTTTTCATCGGTTTAAATGGAAAATTCCGAACCTAAAAACTGAGCTTTTTTCGGTTAAAACCGAATTTCCAAAAATGGAATCGGCGTACTTTTATCGGTTTTTATCGGTTTAAACCGAAAATTCTGAACCCTAATATATCTTATATAGCTTACACATTTGTATAAGATGTGGGGCAAACATTTGACAAACAACAATAACAACTAAGTTTTTATAGGTACCTCTCAGTAAAACGTCTTTAATTAGATATTTTGGATGGGCTTAGGATAAGAAAGTTTCCAAATATGTCGTACGAGGGAGAGGAAAATCAGTGCCCCTCGAAACACGCAATCTAAGTTTCGCACTTTAGAGGGACAGTTTATTACGCGCACTAAATAAGCTATCCCATATGTGCAGCAGAGATCGCACGCATGTATACCGATACGGCAACCGTCCCCATCGAAAGTGATAAAAGTGGTACTTTAACTATATATTTTATCTCCAGGGAGAGTGGTCCATACACAGTACAATCACGATCCCCGGTCAACGTTTACGAAACCCAGGTTGTCACAGAAAGCATTCAAATGTCGCATTCACACAAAAATCCTTACATTTTTTTACCTATTCAAATGGGCAAAAAGGACCTTCATTTGTTTCAAGAGTATTCGCTTTGACCATTCACTCTAAGAAATGCTTGCGCGTCTATACTTAGCCGCAGAGCACTCGAAGAGCCAATTTCTGCGATCTACGAAACCAACTCAGTGAATGATGAGGCGGAACATCCGTTTAGACCTAAAGGTGAAGTCTGCGCTATGGCATTACGCAATACAAAGCGTCATGCTTGCATTGCGTAATGCCGCAGCGCAGACTTCATTTTAGGGTCTAAACAGATGTTCCGCCTCATCATTCGCTGAGCTGATTTCATAGATCGCAGAGATTGGCTCTTCGAGTGCTCTGGGGCTAAGTAGAGGCGCAAGCATTTCTTAGAGTGTTGGTGTGAGATACACGTGATATAAGCTTGCTGCTGGCACACGCTTTGCAGCAATGCACACAACAACGGTAGACAGTGGATTGTGAGATGAAGGCTCGCTTACCTCGGGTTTGCTTTTTCTTCCGTAACGCTTCGAATCACACAACGCAGATTGAACCAACAAATACCGTAGGTGAAAAATAACGAAGCACCCTCTTGTTTCAATCGAATGGTGTTTAGAACAAAGCCATTTCCAAGTATCATTTCGTAAGCGAACGTCGATATTAAAATAGGCGCACAGTCGTTAGTAGTTGATTTTCGCACGGCGTATGGATGCCGGTGCATAAAGCCTTACACGATAAGCATTTCACCGAAAATAAAAAAAATAGTCGCAAAAGCCAGGTGAAAAAAAAAAAAAAATTGCTGAACCCCACGTAAAAATGTGGCAACTAAAAATGTGTGCAACTATGTATCCTGTCGTTTAGCTAAATTTCAGTACGTTTGGGCCTCCAGTACGTTTCAGGCCCAAAAGTGAACTGTCAGCTGCCGTTCTGAGGCTTCAATGTTATTGCTGTCGAAATACCGTGTGAGTTGGATATCTTAGAAATATTTTTAATCGTCCAAATATTTTTCTGCGTCTTTTTATACATCCGTGCAAACGCTTGCTTTCATCCTTTTTCAAACATAATTGTTTACGCAAAAACTGAAGCCCCTTTTCAAGCTTTGCCACGCACGTATTTGTCGACTTGGTAAGGCAGAAATCAAGCACGTTTAATCTACGTCCAACGTCGTCGTTCGCGGCTCGCGTAAGGTTTCTTATAGAATGGACTTAAAATAAAAAACATCTTCTGGGAACAGAGCTTTCTGTTCTGGTTATGCAAAGGGCGCATTTTTGCAACCTTCCAGAGGCACCCGCGAGAGTTGGGTCCACGCCAGGGCAGAGAGCGGTGTCTGCTCACCGTTTATAAACATCACATTTGTTGAGCATACATCCTTCTGACCATTACAAGCATGCCAAAAATAACTTTGACCCTCTAAAAAAAAAAAAAGAAAAAAAGACAGCAACAACATTGTGACGTGTTTGTGTGTGGTCCCCCTTTTTTAGTCTGTCGTGTCCGATTTCAAATATGTGGGGCTTAAACCAGCTCGCCTGCTTTTTGTATTAAAAATATAATAATAATAATGTGTTCGCTGCGACTGCGGTACGTCTGCTCAAAATATCCGAATGTGGAAGACACGTTGAAACTAGAACGTACAACATTTCTTGAATCTGCGGTCACGCCGCTCATAATTATCATAAATAAAGTCTGCAGTCACTGTCTAAGGTGTGTTTGGCGGTCGCTCTGGTCATACAAAACCTGCCTGCAAACATGTTCGAAACATGCATGTGTATTAAGCAAACATGTTTGGAACATGCTCGGGGCGTGTCCGAGTACACTCCTGTCATCGTGTCTCTAGGGAGTGGCTTTTGTAGGATGTACGAGCACGAGCAGTACGTGGCAGAGGTTCGAGGGTTTCCCCAGTAGTCGATTCACCGTCTCAGTGCACATCATACGTGTGTACAGTGACGACTGTTAGCTAATGACAATAGCATTTGAAGTCGGAAAAAAAAATATGAACGGCAGGTTCGCGTAAAACCATTACCTTTCAGAGCCATTGAGTCAATCGGCAGTACTAAGATGTGCTATGCTACTTTGTCGTCAAGTTTAACGTCTCTATTTGTCTTCGCAATTTCTCCCCTCTCAACGTTCTCGCACGTACATCTCTCATCGGTTCCAATTTGTCAGCGTCCATTTTCCTACACACGACACTCTATGACCGTTACCCGTCTTGCGGCCGGAACGCTGACCAAACGGCAGATCCGTTTTCGGGTAACGGGTGATCTGTAAACGAAAACCCAAACAAAGTAAACAAATGAACGAAGTAAACGTGGCTTCCGGCAGTACGTCTCCGCCACCGTATACAGACGCGCCGCTCTAACGGATGCCTATACCTCCGGCAGCACGTGCGCGTTTGTCTGTCCCCGTCGTATCTGAAAGCTATCGTTCGCCTACGTAGACTTCCAACGAGTGACATCAGGGACAGCGGATAACCCGACCCGCGATCGTCACCTGGGGAGTGACGAACGCGGCAGTGGTGGCAACGACAATCCCCGTATCGCCGAGCGTTTCTTTCTTCTCACTAAACGCCAGGAACCGCGAGTCCAACTCCTCCGTCGTCTCACCGAGCGAAGGATTGGCGACACATGTTCCGGTTTCCGAGGAACCTCGACGAAAGCGCGGTGTCAGGAGAGGGGTTCCACGGCGTGACGCGACTCCGTGACGCGTGCCTGCTGAGCGTCACGGGGAGATACCCCCCTCCGGGAGTAGCTCCCAGCTTCCTGGCTCAACTTAGCTTGCTGAGCCCCGCCTTCTGCCAAGACCACGTGGCTCCTCCGCTGAGGAGGAGGAGGAGGAAGAGAGGAGAAGGCCACACTGGGGCGTCCAGACGAGTCTCGGCTACAAGAAGGGCACGTCGCGAGCACCCAAGCATCATCCGCTGACAGCGACGACAACAGCCAGTGGGAGACCCCAAGCGAGCGCCTTTAACGCCGGGAATTTCAAACGCGGAGGGAGGTAAGGCTTCTTGGCTGCACTCGTGCTTCGCTGGAGACATGGAGGGACGAGCCAGGGGTCTCTGTTTGACCAGGGACGTTGAGCCCGCACTTACCCTGAGATTGATTGCGGATACCTTGACTCTCTCCGTCTAGCTTGCATGCCTGCCTCGGAGAACCGACTGCTTGGAGTTTATGTAATCGAACCGATAATAATGTGGATTGATTGATGAATTCGTTCTGGGAGTTTCTCGCCTCTCGTTTACTTACTCTACGCGTCGAATGTATTAGCTCCCGGCAAGCTTCACTCCAACTGGCAGCTTCTAAAGTACAGCGGGGCACTGATTTTCGCTTTGTGACTGATCATTCGCGGTAGTGGCTAGATAGCTCTCGCTCGGGAGCTCAAAACACACTCTTTGCCTTCGGCAACTTGTTGCGAAAAGCTGTGACTTAAGCTTTTCGCAATCTCACGCTGCGCTGCTTCTCGCAACCAAGGAAAAGATAGAAGTCAGGAGAGCCCAAACTCTTCCTCACTTCTATGTTTTCAGCACGGGCTCATTTAGAACAAGTTGTGTGGAGAAATTTTGAACGCGATTATGGACTACAGTTTTATCATTTTATTCGGTATGTATCTGTATTTGAAAATACAGAGTTGTTATTTCTATCTCTTAAATTAGCTTGGGTACAGAAGCTCATTTCTGCTTAATACAAAAAAAAAAAGAAGAAAAAAACGTTCTAGATATTGGTTTTCGTTTTCATAGTTAATGTAAAGTTAAAGCCTCAACCCGGCCAATTATTTCAGCTTACTATGGTGAGTGGCAACATCCGACTGTTTTCCACAGGAGACACGGGACTTTAATGACGGCTTCATAATTTTTATTCGAAGTAGGCGACGTTTTCCCTTCCACGGCGTTGACCTCCTCTTGTTCGAACGGCCCCGTCCTTGAAATTCAATTCCCAACACGGGCATGGTAGTATACACGTAAGCTCTCGTCTGCTTGGTCGTGTTTTCTCCAACACCAACGGGTCCTCAGCGGGTCACGAAGCGAAACGTCTCTCGCAATTTCGTCCCCTGATTATCGTTAACGCCTGGTGACTTGCGCAATCGTGCCCACATCACGGCGGCTCCAGGTAGATGGATGCACTGTCGAGCGAAAGGGCCGCCGACGTGCCCGCTTTTATTTCTCTCTCCTAGAAACAAGTTCAACCGCCTGAGCTATCTGCTCGACAAATGTACACAGGTGTTGGGACGAATCGGAATGTCGTGGCACTGTGCCATGCTCTTTCGTCACAGACTCGTTTCAAAAAAGAAATCGCGAGGGAAACTGTCGCGACAAGTTCTGAAGAGGAATCCTTCGAAATAATAAGAATGCAAAAAAATCCGCTTTACGAATGCTTTAATTATACTTTACGGGAGAAATGTCAGTCGGAGTTGTAATGTTCTTTTTTTATATTTTTTTTGTTAGCATCCCGTGACTTTTCATTCACGTCACAAACTATTGATAATAAGAAAAAAGAAGGAGACTAGCTCCGAGGTATGCTGTCCCTCCCTCTCCGACCCCCGGGTATCATTTCAGGCAGGCTATTTTCCTTCTCGGATCCTTGACCCTTCCGGTCACTTTCTCGTCAAAAGTTTTCCCGGCGAGTTGGTCGCGATGAACCGACGAGCCAGCGTGGGACTACATTGCAAACTCTTAGGGAGCCCTCCGTCGATCGGAGCTCCCGTGTACAACCTTGTCGAGGTTGTGAGTTGCCAAACAAGACTCGCGAGTTGGCAGTCGTTTCCGCCTACGGCTCCGTTCTCGTCCGTCGGCCCACGGCTATTTGCCGTCCCGTTTCGCTGGGCAGCGCGAGAGCGAGCGAGTCCGGAAAGCCGAGGAGAAGGACGGGGCAGCACCAAGGTGTTTCGGGACGCACTGACTGCACTACGTCTCAAGGCATCGACATTGTTGGGCGACGTCGCCCTTGACATCCGCTTTTTCGATCCCAGACACGTCTAATGACTGCGCGCCGTCCTTTTGAAAGCGCCGTTCCCTGTAGGAAATCGATGCCCGAGTCGCACTCGGAAAACACGGTCCTGTTTGGGTGACTCATTCGGTGGCGCCGGATCGCGAGGACAGCCCAAACAATAGAAAAACAGCCCCCGTAGACGCTTTGAACGAGCTCCGATGCTGCAGATTGTTTGTTTGTTCTCGCTGGGCAAACACGGCTCCGCCCAAATATTGGACCGAACTGCCGAAGTTTGCTTCTCCAGAGCTTGTGTTTCTTCGTCAACCTCCCGATTTCTTTTTTATTTTTCTGGGTATTACGTTTGTGATGCTGCCTGGATTATCGGCAGCGAGAAACACTCCAAAGAAGCATGAGCACTATTCGCGGAAAATTGGGGTGGTCGTTCTCGGCGTGCTGTCAACTTCAGAGCACAAATTAGCTTCGGTATGTACGAAAGGCGGGTAAACGACTCTATCGAAGCTTTCGGAAATTGCGCTACCGAATTCGCCGTTTTTTCAATGGGACAACTCGCGAAAGAGTTGTCCCGAAACAGCTATCTGGCAGGCGTCGCAACTATACTTGTTGACACACCAAGAGAGAAAAAAAAAAAAACGTTTTGCGCGTTCTCCATGCGCTCCGCGAAGTAGTTCTTACAAGATTCAGTTGTCGAAAGAAGAAACGATGCTTTGGGGTGTGGAACGTGCACGTCTTGATAAAATGACGCAAAGCTAATATTAAATTCACCAACATATATCTTAATTGAATGCACGAAAGGGAAATTAGTATCGTTCCGCCGAAGAACCCGACTTCTTTTCTTTCCTATGGTTTTTGAGGTGACCTACGATGTATCGTCTACCATACTCACTGGGAGATGAAGGAGCGCAGGTCGTGGCTTATTATGATGATCATGCTTCTTGCTTCGTGATTGGTCCTTTGAGATTGTTATCGGCCAACGCCGCATTCTCATTGGCTGCTAAGCGAGAATGAGATGCTGGGGACTTGATACGCCCTGCGGTTCTTAGGCTGTCAGTAACACTCTAAAAAAAGCCCTTGCGTCTACTTTCCCGCACAACACTCGGAGAGTCGATGACCGCAACTTACGGAGGTAGCTCAGCGAATGACGATGCCGAAACATATGTTTAGACCAGAAAACGTAGTCTGAGTTGTGACATTAAGCAGTGCAAGCGTGGCGTTTTGCATTGCTTAATGTCACAACTCGGGCTGCGTTTTTTTTTTTTTTTTTTTTTTGTCTAATCATATGTTTCGGCTTCGTCATTCGCTGAGCTGCCTCTGTAAGTTCCGGTGATTGGCTCTCCTCCGAGTGTTCTGCGGGAAAGTAGACGCATGGGCTTTTTTTAGAGTCTAGCAGCATCGTCCAGAGTGCAGTGCTTTTCACATTCAGATGTGTCCATTGCCGACTGGCTCAAAGCTTGATCCCCCTTCCCCCCCCCCCCCCCCCCCCCCCACACACACACAGACACACCTCTCACTTGATTCCCACAGCGAAAGGAATAACTTTTTGTGTCCCCAGCTTGGTGTTTCGACAAAATGTCACCAGACGGTCATTCTGAAACTTCCCGCGGCACCAGCACATTAACGGCGAAAATTAAAGAAGCTGGTCGTTTGCTTCGTGAAAGTATGTCGAGATTCCTGTAGACCAACGCGTGGTTCCAACGTCACGCTTCCGCTCATGTTGAGACGCTTCACCGCACAGCTATAAGGCTCTTGTTTTTTGCGTTTTCTCAGTGCCCATATCTGGTGTGAGCAGACGCTGGCTATTTCGTAAACACCGCTTTGGCACATAGCGGTAAACTCTTCGGCCGGCTTAAGGATCCTACAAATGTTCAAAGTCACAACGTACAATTGCGTCAAACGGCCATTCGACTGGCCTTCAATTGCGTTCCTGGTCCGTGTCTGTTGGCGGCCGTTCCACGGAGGGAACACATGTTGTCCATTTTTTTGTAAAAAATATATATATAGGCCTTTCCTTATTTATCTTTCGTGAAATCTGTGTCGAGGTTTAAAGAGATTAAAGTCGTAAGTGCCACGATAGAAATCAGCAGACAGTGAGCCAAGTGTTTGTTAAAACGAGCCATGTTGGGAGATTTACGCCTGGACTCCATTTCGCCTCGTACCCAAGATTCATGATCGTGCATTGCATTTGGATTCTCCGCGCAGAAAGCGAGCCAAGGCGAGAGCTGGGCACCTTCCATTCGAATCGCCAATGACCGTGATCTGCGAAACCCTTTTCGCTAACGACGAGACGCGAATGCTTCGGGCGAACACAATAATTACTGCGCTGGGACGATGAGCGCAGCGTCTGACAGGCTCAGTGTCCCAACGTAGTTTGCGTAACGAGGGAAAATAAATATTATTCACAACATCGGCTAATTTTCTTCGATAGTCTGCCATTTATTTGCGGTATTCGCGGCACAGAGTGTTGCTACTTCTGAACTGGAAATTAGAGCAGACAGTGGTACCTAAAAAATAAAAAAAAAGTAAATGTGGGCAATGACGCACATGGGGCAACTTTATTTTCACACATAAAAATGAAAGAACAAGTTTAACCTCAGCGTGACAAAACTATTTCCTTGGTTAGAACAACGATTTGATTTGCACTTTTGAAATCAATAATGTTTGGACGCATCCCCCCAGATTAAAGACAGTTTTTGTGCATACGTTTCTTAAAATGTTTTTTTTTTTTGTAGGTATTGCTTACCATATTTCGTTTTATTCATTTTCAACATGTGATTTAAAATATGTCAACAACGACATAGCAACTTGTGGTGTATTATTGCCCGATATTTTATTGCGGGTAATCAAGTCATGATTGATAAGGACAGCACTCACCCCCTCCCTCCGCCAAAAAAGAAAAATAAATAAATGAAACAGTGAAACGCAGAAAAAAACATGGCTACGAACATTAATGACAGTGCAGGACATCCAACCAACTTAGAAAACTGAAACCGTCCCAAAATAAAACAACACGATCGCAGGACGTGGCGAAACACGGAAAGTTTGATGAACTCCCGG